ATTATAGCTGGGTGTGGTGGCTCACGCTTGTAATCCTAGCACTCTGAGAGGCTGAGGTGGAGGATTCCTTGAGGCCAGGAGTTTGAGACCAGCCTGAACAAGAGAGAGACCCTATTTCTACTAAAAAATAAAAAAATTAGCCGGGCGTGGTGGCACGCACCTGTTGTCCCAACTCCTAGGGAGGCTGAGGCAGGAGGATCGCTGGAGCCCAGGAGTTTGAGATTGCAGTGAGCTACGATGATGTCACCACACCCTAGCCCAGGTGACAGAGCAAGACCTTGTCTCACAAAGAAATAAAAAGTCAAAATTCTTTTTTTTTTTTTTTGAGACAGAGTCTTGGTATATTGCCTGGGCTAGAGTGTTGTGCTGTCAGCCTCGCTCATGGCACCCTCAAACTCCTGGGCTCAAGCAATCCTCCTGCCTCAGCCAAGTAGCTGGGACTACAGGCGTGCCACCATGCCCGGCTATTATCCTTATAATAAACAAAGACAGGGGTTCTCGCTATGACTATGCTGCCCATGTCGCCCTGGCTAGATTGCCCTGGTGTTTAGCCTAGCTCACAGTAACCTCAATCTCCTGGCCTCAAGCAACCCTCCTGGGTTGGCCTCCCTGAGTGCTAGGATTACAGGTGTGAGCCACCTCACAGGGTCTAATTTTATTCAGGTCCCACCCTGCAGCAGTCTTACTTCTTCAATGTGGATATTTCCTTTATCTCTTAATCATACCTAACATGTAAATCCTACCCAAATATTTTAGTTTTATTCTATGACTGGATGTTTTGCTAATTAGAATTCACAACATAGGACAACAGATTACCATACCTTGAAGTAGTTTGTCAAGCTCTTTGGAGCCAGTAGTAATCTGTATGATCTCTGACCGCCTTTGGTGGAATTCAGTTGCAGTGGTGAAACCCATCGGAACTAATTTAGCTGCCTCAGCCTGGGAAAAGAAGAAATCTTAAATCGACAAAATAATAAACGAGAACCAGGCATATGATAGGAAAAGGAAACATCTAACAAAATTTCCAGAATGATTTCTCTTTAGAAAGTCATCAAAAAGGATAATCTAATTCAGAGATATCATGAAGATCAATTTTTTAATTGCCAAGAATATATTCATGTAGTTTAAAAAAGAAATATTATAGATCCACACATATGTGCCACGCCTGATTTATCACAAAAACTCAAATACAGTATATATTTATACTTTCATTTCCTGTTCCGTCAAGCACAGAATGCATCTTTTCACCTTCTACTTTGTAAAATAAGGACATTTACCCTTCTATCTTTTCTCCCTCCATGTCTATTTCCCATCTCTATCAGCAGTACCTTTTCTTTTACATTGTCAAAGTTGAGACATTCACATCTTATTTTACAATTATAGATAAATCTGCTATAATAGGACTATGGGTTGATTTTAAAATTTAAAAATAAATGCATTCACCAATATACAGAAATTAAACAACCCACTCCTAAATAATCAACAAGTCAAAGAGGAAATCACTAGGGAAATTAGAAAATACTTTTTCCATGAATGAAAATGGAGACACAACATACCAAAATATCTGACATCAACAAAAACAGTGATTAGAGGGAAATTTACAGCTGTAAATACCTATAGCAGAAAAGAAGATCAAGCCTGAACATGGTAAGACCCCCATATCTACAAAATATAGAAGAATTAGCTGGGCATGGTGGCACATGACCATAGTCCAGCTACTTGGGAGGCTGGGGCAGAAGAATGGCTTGGTCCCAAAGTGTTTGAGGCTGCAGTGAGCTATGATGACACCACTGTACTCTAGCTCAGGTAACAGAGCGAGACCCTGTCTCAAAAACAAATCATAACCTGACCTTCCACTTAAAGATACTAGAAAAAGAAGAGCAAACAAAACAAAGCAAAACAGAAGGAAGGAAATAAAGGTTAGAATGGAAGTTAATGAAATGGAGAATAGAAAGAAAAACGAATGAAACCAAAAGTTGGTTCTTTCAAAAAAATCAACAAAATTCACAAACCTTTAGAAACCACTAACCAAGAAAAAGAGAGAAGATTCAAATCACTGAAATCAGGAATGAAAACAGGGACATTACTACTGACCTTACAGAAATAAAAAGGATTATAAGGAAATACTTTGAACTCTATGTCAACAAATTAGAACACTTAGATGAAATAGGCATAGAAAGAGAAACTACCAAAACTCTCTCAAGAAGAAAACGTAAACAGACCTACAGCAAATAGATTAAATTTATAATTTAGAAACTTTCCACAAACAAAAATAAAAATCAAAGAACAGCTGAGGCCGGGAGCGGTGGCTCACGCCTGTAATCCTAGCTCTCTGGGAGGCCGAGGCGGGCGGAT